ATAAAAGAAGCAGTCAAATTCACCTTTTCTTTCATTTTTATTTGATAATTTCCTCTTTAATAACTGGAATACAAAAGATTCTCAACTATATTAGCACCACGCTCTAATCAACTGAATTAACTGGCCAGACATTAAATTTTCAGCTTTAAAAAGAAACTTGCAGGATGGATATCTGGTGCGGTGGTAGTCACTGCTTGGGATGCCTGCACCCCATATTGGAGTGCCGAGTTTTGAGTTCTGGCTACTCTGCTTCTAATCCAGCTCCCTGCTAATGCACTTGGGAAAGCAGAAATGATGGCCAAGGACTTGGGTCCCTGCTGCCTACACAGGAGATTCAGATGGAGTTCCTGGCTCCTGGCCTTGGCTTGGCCTGGCCTGGTCCCAGCTCTTGTTGGCATTTGGGGAATGGATCAGCAGATGGAAGACTTCCCTGTCTTTCTCCCTCTGCCTTTTAAAAGAAATAAAAATATTTTTTAAATAATTAATTAAAATTTGCTTTAAAACCTTGCTTTTTGAACTTTGGAATGTACACTCAGAAGATTAAGTATTTCTGAAAAGGCAAACTGTTCCTGTGGCATTATTCACCGCTAATACTTTGACTGCTTGAGCCTGGGGCTGGAAGTTGGGCTGCTTCTGCTTAGTGTCTCCATGTTAAAACAGTCCCAGCCCAGGGTGTGCTGTGTGATCTCTTTAACCTCAGTATCACTTATGAAACAGCAACACCGCTATCTCCAAGAACCAGCTATGACGACTACATGGGATCATCCTTATAAAGGCTTAACATGCCTAGCAGGCAGAAAACATTTGTTAAATGAATGAATGTTTAACTACATTTATTAACTAACTAAGAGTTGCCTTATATTTTAAGCTTATACAGGTCAGACCCCATTATAAAACTTTAAAGACTGTAAAGTCTTTTGTAAAACAAAATAATCTATTTTGTGTTTAATCAAAATTCAAGTTACTTTCCTTATCAAACATCTATTTTGGTGGTTAATTAAATGAAGAGTTTGGGATTTTTCACCTCTTTACTCTTCTAAATTCATTCAACTCAAGAGGCACTGATTTTTTTTTTTCATTGAATGAATCTAAAAATCTCTGTAAGAAGATGTACCACAGAACTGCATCAACACCACATCAGGCCACTTGAAAGATGGTCTGTGACATACATAGGCCACAGGGAAGTGCCAAGACTGCACAGATCTTGGAGGAAAAGACTTTTTTTCTTTCTTTCTTTCTTTCTTTCTTTCTTTCTTTCTTTCTTTCTTTCTTTCTTTCTTTCTTTTTTTTTTTTTTTTTTGACAGGCAGAGTTATAAACAGTGAGAGAGAGAGACAGAGAGAAAGGTCTTCCTTCCGTTGGTTCACCCCCCAAAATGGCTGCTACGGCCGGCACGCTGCACCGATCCAAAGCCAGGAGCCAGGTGCTTCCTCCTGGTCTCCCATGCAGGTGCAGGGCCCAAGCACTTGGGCCATCCTCCACTGCCCTCCCGGGCCACAGCAGAGAGTTGGACTGGAAGAGGAACAATCAGGACAGAATCCGGTGCCCATGTGGGATGACAGTGCCGCAGGCAGAGGATTAACCAAGTGAGCCATGGCGCCAGCCTGGAGGAAAAGACTTCTTAAAAAACCCAGCCCCGAGTACAGTGAGGTCCCTCGTCTAAAGCATGATGAACTAATATTCTATACTTTGAGAATATGGAAACCATATGCAATTACCATATAAAATTTCCGAGTTATCTGAGCCTCTGGCAAAACCTATACTCACCCTTTCTGTGTACCTCTGATGTCAAGGGTTGATAAGGCTTTTACCAATAAATAAAGTGGAACCAAATGACTATGGCTGCAAAGGTAATCAGTATCAGATACTGAGGAGGAAAATAAAAGCAAAATGAAACCAGAAGAGTAAATGATTCATTTCCTTCCACTCTTCATTGTTCAACTGATTTCATTTCTTTTTAATGGAAATACATTAGAAACATTTTTAATATACTTCCCAAAGGTTGCCCTCAATTTGCATTCATACAATACAAGGTGTGAAAAGCAATGGAATTTAAATCAGATTTTGTGGGTCTGTACACAGGTCAGTCACCTTCCTAGCCTCAGTTTTCTCATTTGCAAAAAGGTAGTGAAAATGTCTACTCTCACAAAATTGTGATTATTAAATATGGTAAAATAAATGAACATGATTATTAAGTATGAAAAAATAAACAAAAACAGAACAGTCCTGCTAAAAAGAAAAATAAATGAACCATAAATGTGAGCTATCTATTAATTTTTTAATTAAAAATATAAAGCAGGTGAAATTAATTTTAATAATTGATTATATTTAACCCAATATATCCAAATATTACAATTCAACACATTAGTAAATATGAAACTATTGAGACTTTTCTAACCGTCTCTTTCATTTTTGAACTACATCTCTGAAAACTGACGTGCTACTTTACACTCACTGTGCAGCTCATTTCTGACTAGCCGTGTTTCACATGCCCAGTAGCCACACATAGCTAGTGACACCACACTGAACAGCAGGATTCCAGATTCAGGATGAAGTTTAATATTTGTTTATTAGATTCAAACAGTATTTCCTATCACATAAACCCTGTGAGACCTAGGGAATTTATCTGTAAAATCAGTAACTATAGAGAGTTTGTGTATTTATATTTTTGGTATAGCTTATGATATTATATGTAGTATCTAAGAATGGATTAAGAAAATGTGGTATATATACACAATGGATTATTACTCAGTCAAAAAGAAGAATGAAACTCTGTGTTGGTTAACTGCAGCAACATGGATGGGACTAAGATGGTATTATGTTAAGTGAAGGAAGTAAGGCACAGAAAGACAAATACTGCATGTTCTCACTCATATGTGGAAGCTTAAAAAATTGATTTCATAGAAGTGGAAAGTAGAACAGTGGTTACCAGAGCCTGGGAAGAGTGTGGGGGAGGAGAGGGTAGAGAGAGAATGGTTAATGCATAGTGGGGTGCAGCTAGACAGAAGGAGTTACTTTTAACATTCCATAGCATAGGACAGTAGGATAATTATGGGTGACATCAATTAACTATATATTTCAAAATAGCTAATAGAATTTTGAATGTCCCCAACACACAAAGAAATGGTAAATGTTTGAGGTGATGGATATGCCAATTATCCTAATCTGATCATTAACATATTGTATTCATGTACTGAATCTTAGACTGTACTCCATAAATATGTACACTTAATATATATCAATTAAAATGAAAATGTTTTAAAATGAATTAAAATATTATTAATATTGATTAGACCAAGTTGTTTTTCCAAATTAAAAGCAATCTAAGGGGCCGGTGCTGTGGCTCACTTGGTTAATCCTCCACCTGCGGTGCCAGCATCCCATATGGGCACCAGTTTAAGACTGGCTGCTCCACTTCCAGTCCAGCTCTCTGCTGTGAGCCGGGAGGGCAGTGGAGGATGGCCCAAGTCCTTAGGCCCCTGCACCTGCATGGGAGACCAGGAAGAAGCACCTGGCTCCCAGCTTCGGATCGGCGCAGCACCGGCCGTAGTGGCCATCTGAGGAGTGAACCAACGGAAGAAAGACCTTTCTCTCTGTCTCTCTCTCACTGTCTATAACTCTGTCAAATAAATAAATTTAAAAACTTAAAAAATTAATAAATACATAAAAGAAATCTAAAATGATTATTACAACTCATAATATTCATTTATTTCATATTTACTGTGTAGCTATTTTAGGTTTTGAATTATATATTAACTTGACATATAATCTAATAATCTCAAAAAAGAAAAGAAAATATAAGCATATAAACAATTCAACCTATAAGCTATAACTGATATAACTGATAAAATATATCTTCTAGAATAGAAATATATCTTATAGAAAAGAAACAGGAACAAAAGTTTTCATTTCATAGTACCTACCATTAGTAATTCATGTTACAGTGTTAAGAGTTTTAATTTTTTTCTCTCCCCAAAATTTGACTGTATTCTCTCAATAACAGAATGACCACCTATCATGACAACTTAATTATATGTAAATATACAAGTAAATACAGAATTGTATTTCATGCATTAAAATGATGCTATAATTACTTTAAAAGATTCACTAGCGTTAAAATGTCAAATATTACTTGCATTAATTAATTAATTATTAACATTACAACATACAGTGGGCTATTCTTGTATCTTGAGCTCAAAGAGTAGGATGGAAAACATTTCTAAACTGCAAGGTCTTTTTGAAAGCTTTCTACAAAGCACAAGTCCATCTACACATGTGTGCATGCACGTGCGTGCAAACACACACACACACACTCTTATACTGAATAGTATGTCATGTTTCCTTTTGTATGGAGATGCCCGTGAAATGGATATACCTCATCAGTCTATCTCTGAGCTGCCCACTAGTCCAACACAAGAGAGTAAAATGGAGATAGAAATCACACAGGTGATTGCCCCTTCACATCTGACAAAATCATTTAGTTCCCTACAATAACTTCAACATTACAAATGGTTATAAAATTCTTAACAACTGAAGCTCTCTGGGTTTTGATTTTTTTGTTTACAGTATATTAAAAAACAGCACTTCTAGAATATAGAGCCTCTTCCTCGAACATTTTATCAGTATTTATCAGAACTGATAAATGAGGAAAAAGTGCCAATAGCTGAATCATTAATTCTAGGTTTGGTGGCACCACCTGTGTGTCCCTCTGCTGTCTCCTGACCATGAAGTTGACTAACTCTGCTCAAGCTTAAAGTCAACAACGGGTTTATGCTGCAAAGTGGTACAGCTGCAAAGTCAGGATTCCAAGCTTATTACATTCATGATCACTAGTTTTCCCAAGAACTATTCACTTATTTAGGCATCCATTTCCCAGGCTAACAAGTGCTGAGCCTCAAGAATCACTGGTATTAAACACAAACGCAAAGGAAGACCATGCACATTTCAAGTACTCGGCCAAAGTTCAGAAATAAAGCACCCAATGTATTAAGAAAGACTTACATCTGGCATTTCTGTAGAGAAGGAAAGGGTCCTGGAGTTGGAAATCCAGGTCTTTAGTAATGGGTTCTGTCCTATTCTCCATGCTCAGCCTATTCATAATGGTGAATCCATGCTTTGGAGAAGCAGATCTAAGAATCACAAAGGGGGAGGGGAACAAAAGACACACCGTTCAGTACACCAGATTTGCAGCACACACTACCCCCGATGTGCTCGGTGGGCTGCACGTGCACCCACACCCTACATCTGGAGCATTTCTCAATCTTGTATGTCCAGGAGCTTTATACAGCAGCCTACAAACACACAGCAATGTGGCTTTGCTATTGCAGTCATCACGTACTGAGTCAAATGTAACACAACATGACCGGCATGACCATTCTTTTGGCAAAATTGAGTGGTACTTACTTAACACAATATTTTTGTGTTTATATACAGATCTCATTTCCCTATCTGGGTTATAAATATGTTTAAGGCACAAAAGATAACTACTTTTTAAAACAGATACTTATAAAGAATCTTGGTAGTTAATATAGAGTGTACATCACAGTTGTACACAGAAAATGTTAAGTGTTGGTCTGAGATTTGAGAGCTTCAAAACCTCTTAAAAGAAATTAAGCAACTCTGTCAATGAATCTGAGGAGATGTATAGCATAGAGCAAAAGGCAGATATTTCATTTTCTTCAACAACAAAGTTTATCCATGACTTCACGGATAAATAACTCTAAGTTTTGCTCAATAAAAAAATGGCATTTGTGACTTTTATTTTTCAATAGACCTTGATGCCTACTCGAGCACACAGGAAAAACCCAAATTATACAGTGTATAAACTCTAAAACCACATGTGCATTTTGTCTACCCTTGGGCGACAGCCACACAGTAATTCAACTGTGCCACTTCTGGTGACAGATCAGCACCACAGATTTGTACACTGAAACTGAAGCAAACAAAATTCACTTATTTACTTAAACCTAGAGTGCTAGGGTCATTATCAACCCACAGAAATGTTATGAACACCGGGAAGAAAAGGTATTTACAACTTAGCTTTATTTCACTTCAAACCATTTGATGCTGACAATGTGGACAAAGAAGTAGAAATAGTTACACTACCACTTACAGGATTTTCTTTCAAAACCTTCAATTTTAAATTAATGGAAAGCAATCCTTGTCTAGCTTATTTTACAAAGAGGTAAGTGGTGGTAGGGATGTAATCAACACCAGAAATAATATGACAATCATTGCAACTTAAATTCAGAGCAGCAAAGAAAATGAACTCCTGAAGAGCTCTAATCAGGAGTCCAAGTGTCCAGTTTGGAAATCCTCAGTGGATGACCCTGTAAACGCTCTTAAGAAAGGAGAACATGGGAGGGAAACAAAGAAAAGACATATTTTTAAAAATGGAATTAGGTGTTTTTAAAACAAGAGTAAGAATTTGATTCTTCAAGTATGTCATTATCACAACATGATCTCACCTCTTTAATAGTACATATGGGTACCAGACTCATCTCACAGTTTGTAAAACACACCCAGGGGACAAATGTGCCAACTGCTCTAAAACAACATCTGTAAGAGAAGTCAAAAACCATCACTGGAAGTTCTACTCCCTGAACCAAATACTCCCTTTTGATTTTTTTTTTTTTTTGTATTTTCTGTCTTCCTCTACAGAAAAATGACCTCAACATACTAGAATTTGGTTGTTTTTTTAAATTTCCTTCTTTTTTTTTTAAGATTTGTGGAAGCGATTAAGAAATTATGTTCTTTTTTTCCTAGTTTAATGTCTTGTTTAATTGACAGATCCACTAGAGACCTGGAATAGATTAAGAAGTACTGGAAAACATAAACCTGCATTTGGTTAGGTACAAAAGAGAAAATATTTGTATAATTTATTACTCTTCCATAGTATAAGAAAAATCACACTAAAAATCCCTAGAATTAATCATTAATACATTTTAATACATCTTTTGTTTCACTTCTTAAGAGACTAGTACTTCCTGTGAGCAATGAATGAGAACAATTTGGGGTTGGCACACCTCAGAGTTCAATCATTTGGTTTTCTTTTTTCACTTCTAAGTTCTCAAGAATGGTCATACTCTACTGAATGAACTCACTTGGTATGTTCTAGTCCTTTTGGAACACTCTGGAACTTAATAGAGGCTAATACAACAATGATTCTTAGGCATTCCCACTGCTTTTCCAAGACGCTGAATAATCTGGCCTTGTTACTTGGCTGAGAGTCACTGCCTCTCTTCCAAGCCCGCAGCTGTCTCCACATCCCAAGACCTCCCTTCTCCACTGACAACTGCCCCTGTGTGGACAGCCTGAACCTTACCAGTCTAGTGCTGTTCATACAGCTGACTCTGGGTACTTCTCTGGATACTTTCATTTATTTATTTATTTATCTATCTATCTAGCAATTTATTTATTTATTTATTGACTGACTCTTCTCTGTATCCTTGCTGGCCTTAAAATCCAACCATTAGCCTTCAGTTACCTCTTTATACACACTCTTCCAGGGAACACTTGTTCTTTCAAGATTTCACCTATGAAATTACTCCAGATGACTCCAAGTACCTCAAGCCCAGACCCTATCTTGAGTGGCCAGATACCTCCATTTAAATGTACTGTTACTCCAAACCATTATGCCAAAAACTTGACCTGTCCCCAAACCAGGTTCTTGACTTCCTATCTCTCATACCCTCAAGTCTTTTGCAAACTGTTAGTGTTATTTCTAAAAATTTCATCATCCCCTCTACACTTAGAATCTTCCAATGCCCTTTCCATTTCAACTTCATTCTAACTCAAACTCTCATCACCTCTTATCTTTCTTGCTGTAGCAATTGTCTCAATGCCCTGACGCCAGCTTCTTCTAGAAGCAATGCATCCTACAAAGTGAACCGACTTTCCCCATACATTTTCTCATAACCCTATTACTCTCCCAAACCTCACTTTTATGACTCCCTACCGGTAAGAAAATACATTTGAAAATACTTTGATATTCCAAGCCAGCAAATCCCATTACCTGTGCTATAATCTACCAAAGGGTCATTTTCCTTACAATCCTCTTAAAGCACTAGGTTCTAGGTCTCTGCTTTGGCCATTCTTCATGTAGAGACTGCCTTTCCTCTCTGTGCAAGGTCTACTTTATTCCTGAGGCCCATCAATGCTATGGAAACTTCGACAACCATAGCAGCCCATTCACTGCTTACAACCTGCCAACTGGCATTTAGGATAATCTATTCTGTACTATGGTTTATCTTAAGTGTGAATACATGTGTAAAGAAAATACACTCATGTGTCTGTGTCACAATTTCCTGCTTCCCCCCAAAAATGGTTACTCTAAAGGGACTGTAATAGACTTTCGTCTTTCATCTTCACATTCCTACTAAAGGTACTGGGCTTTAGCTAAGATATTTTACATGACTTTTTTTTAAAGATTTATTTATTATTTATTTACTTGAAAGGCAAAGTCACAAAGAAAGAGGGAGAGACAGAGAGATCTTCCACCTGCTGGTTCACTTCCCAGGTCGCAATGGCCGGGGCTGAGCCAAGCCAAAGCCAGGAGCCAGGAGCTTCTTCCTGATCTCCCATGTGGGTGCAGGGGCCCAGGCACTCAGGCCATCCTCTGCTGCTTTCCCAAAGGTATTAGCAAGGAGCTGGATCAGAAGTGGAACAATCAAGACACAAACTGGCGCCCATAGAGGATGCTCAGCTTTTACCCTCGATGCCATAACACCTGCCCCTATACATGACTTTTTTTTTTTTTTTTTTTGACAGGCAGAGTGGACAGTGAGAGAGAGAGAGACAGAGAGAAAGGTCTTCCTTTGCCGTTGGTTCACCCTCCACTGGCCAGCACGGCCGGCGCACTGCGGCCGGCACACCGTGATGATCTAAAGCCAGGAGCCAGGTGCTTCTCCTGGTCTCCCATGGGGTGCAGGGCCCAAGGACTTGGGCCATCCTCCACTGCGCTCCCGGGCCACAGCAGAGAGCTGGCCTGGAAGAGGAGAAACTGGGACAGAATCCGGCGCCCCAACCGGGACTAGAACCCGGTGTACCAGTGCCGCAGGTGAAGGATTAGCCTAGTGAGCCGCAGCGCCGGCCTCCCTTTACACGACTTTTTATGTGAATAAAAACGTGTGCCATTAAGACAACATACATACTGTGTGTATATATAACATTAACAACATCCAGCAAAAAGAAATGACGAAAAGCACAAGTTCATTAAATCTATTCTGAAACACACACTATAAACTAGACTCTGCAGGACTGAAAGCTTAAATTTTGAATCATGTTTTTTTTAAACAGTCATGGGTCAGGGAAAGATGATCAGGAAAACTCTTTTCCAAATACTGATTAAATGATCTAGTATTCCTTATGGTGTATTTCTAGCTCTTTAACAATGCATTATAAAAAAATAAAAATAAAATAAAAAAATAAAAATAATAATAAAAAAAAGGCCGGCGCCGCGGCTCACTAGGCTAATCCTCCGCCTTGTGGCGCCGGCACACCGGGTTCTAGTCCCGGTCAGGACACCGGATTCTGTCCCGGTTGCCCCTCTTCCAGGCCAGCTCTCTGCTGTGGCCAGAGAGTGCAGTGGAGGATGGCCCAAGTGCTTGGGCCCTGCACCCCATGGGAGACCAGGATAAGTACCTGGCTCCTGCCATCGGATCAGCGCGGTGCGCCGACTGCAGCATGCTGGCTGCGGCGGCCATTGGAGGGTGAATCAACGGCAAAGGAAGACCTTTCTCTCTCTTTCTCTCTCTTTCTCTCTCTCTCACTGTCCACTCTGCCTGTCAAAAAAAAATGCATTATATTCCAGAACTTTGTACAATGCATTTAATCAAAGGATATTTCATGCACAGATTTAAGTTCATGTACACTGAAGTTTAAATTATATTCTGAAATTAGTATTCATCAAAATATAGCCAGTGACATTATTCAGTATTCTCTCTTGCCAACTGATAATTTCAAACTAAGATTCAGTTCTTTTACTTCTCTGAAATAAAATTGCACTTGAAGAGTGACACAGCTGAACTAAAACATTATTTCAAAGACCGTCAGTTTCTTTATAACAGTAAAATGCTCTTACCTTGTATAAACAAATAAGGTTCCTTCCACATCAGTCTTTTCCTAAAAATAAAAACAAAGCATACAGCTTATGGATGTTCTCTTCATTCACACAGGCGAGAACATAAACAGAGTAGAATAGGAATCACATCCAGTTTCAAACAGGTGATGCTGCAATGTGCAACGTGAGACGCTGTTCTTAGGGAAAGGAGAAATTAGGTTGTCTGCCCCAGCTGTGGCTGTGCTGATTAACAGCAGGAAGCAGCTCTTCTGCCATCACTCTCTCTCCCTAGCAAATACAAACAGCAACACTCCTCTAGCTGAAATGAGGAGAAAACAAGTGTGCCTGTGGATTTCACTAGAAAGAAGAGACTTCCTCCATCCACCAACTTGCGTACATAGCAAGCTACACTCTACAATGCCTGCTTTTCATTATCCTTCACTTTCTTAGTTCATGTGCTCTTGCGAAATCCTGTCACACAGGAGGGCAGATCATCTGTCAATTACTCTACTCTGAATGCTGGATAGAAGGGGGAATGGTGTTGTACTGTTTTCTGACATAAATCATCTCCTTAGTGTGGAATACTTGGAGTCAAACTCTCACCCAAGGCCTCTGAAATAAAGTTAGACAAAAGTATTACACAAGAAAGCTGCCTGCGAAGACCTGTGGGCGGAGGTAAAGTTCAAATGACAGTTTGGTTAGTTCATTTGGCATGTCTTTTGCATTTCTCCAAAGGCAGGAACCCAGGTCCTGATGACAAAGTTTATCAACACAATGCGTATTAAACAGGAGTGTGTGAGTGTGTGTGTGTGTGTATGTGTGTGAGTTTCCATTTGTTTTATTAGTCAATTACAATTCAGCACTTAAAATGTAACTTTTGCTATGTACTTGAATTTCAATATTCCACTTAATCCCCTGAAAGTTTATTAATAATATTCATTACCATAATCATTCAAAATTATGCAACTTTGGTGAAAATCATGTTCTTTAAGAAAGCATGACCTTTCACATGCTCAGGTCACTTCAGCCACTTTCTTGGTCACCCTAACTCAGCAGGTCTCAAAGCACGGACCCCAGTTCAGCTGCATCAGCTTCACCTGGAAGAAATGCAAATTCCTGGGCCCTAGCCCAAACCTACTGAGTCCCACGTCCTGGGGATGGTGGCCAGTGATTCAGTTTTCATTAAACTGTCCAGGTGATTCAGATGCATGCCAGTTTGCCTTAGTCCAGTAACATACTCTTTGCCCATGGAAGTGTATTAGGAGCCACGAAAACAAAACCCACTTTAGCCAAAATCATATCAACTATTACCAGACGTTAGGAGTAAATGCCTATGGAAAAACATCATTTCTTAGCAACCAGACTTTTTATCTCAAGATGTTTAGTACTATAGAATGTATAATTAGAAATAATATAACAATTAACTTAGACAGTCTTTTCTTTAACATATTAGCTAAGGTAAGAACATAAGAGTTCATCCTGAAACTAGATTTACGATTAAGCTTAGATAAATCACTCCAATGTATTAAGTATCCTTATTTCTCAAATATGGCCCACTTGCCACAGCACTTTGAAAAACACTAGACAAACACACACACCAGGAGATTACTTGTCTTTTTCTGTAAACAAACATGGTCAATTCCTATCTGTTGAGACACCCATTTCCGGGTGCACTTTGAGCATGAAGAACCACATAACCTCTAGCCACCACATGGTAATCCTTAAGAAACTGGCCACCACACTACAATGCTACCCAGGCTAAGAATATGTGAGCATCCCTCAAGCTTTAATTGGTGACACTGGCAAGTACTTACTAGTTCACAAAATCTTCATGTCCTCAGTTACATTGCTAGGAAACTGAAGCCAGGATGCAGGTGGTGGACTTTGAAGGATCTATGAGCATTGTCAGGATCACTCACTACAAGGCCAAAAGATTTTCCTGTCTTCCAGCATTTGACTTTGGACAGTTTGTACCTCAGAGATCCAAGAGCGTTTATATTCATCAGTGCACAGGGCTAACAGCTTCTGACTTATTCCCTTCCTTCCTTGATGTCAACAGAAACTCCTTTTTCTTAAAAAAACAAAATCTTTAGTTTTGAAAAATCCAGATCAGAAATGTAAAAGGTAGCTTTTCTTGGAATTATTCTTTAACTCATAACAAGTAATTCTTATGACTTTGTTCACAGAAAGGAACAGTTTCAGTTAATTACAACACAGGACCTGGAGTGGGTAGCCCATCACACTGGGATCGCTGCTTCATTATTCTGTCTCAGTTTCTCCACTGAAAAGAGATACCAGTGTTCACCACTCAGATCTTCGAATGAAAAAAAAAATCCTATTTTAAGCAATCAATGATACCTGGATAAAAGGGGCTTTGGAAATGTAAATTTCTGTTCTGTGATGGCTAAACCAGCTGAAATCCACTCGGTTTTCTGGTCCCTCCACAGTTATAAAGGACAACAGGTTTTTTCCTTTTCTTTCTGAGCAAAGTCAGGTTGGTGGTGCGACAAATGACTTAAGGATTTTGTAAGATCTTCCTCAGATATTCCAACTATGGAGGACTTCCATGTTCAAGTATTTAGTTTAGTTGACAGTCCTAGGATATTTTAGCTTAAAATTTAAAAGTACAAACTTAATGATGCGATATTACACACTCTACTACAAAATGCAAGTGCTTTCAAAAGAGCAGCTCAAAATTCAAAATAACAGAATGGAAAATAGTTTTGATTTGCAAATTACTAGGATTCAACAGTATTTGACAGTTTCAAAACAATCTCTATCGACTATTCTAGATTAAAATATTGAGAAAGTGGGTCTCAATTTCTCTTTCCTGATTTGTCTCCCCATCATGGATGCAGCATCAACTGCCCAGGCCTCACCACCCAGAGGTTTGGACAGGCGGGATGTACTGTCTCCCATCCAAGTACTAACCAGGCCCGACCCTGCTTAGCTTCCAAGATCAGACGAGATCAGGCGCGTTCAGGGTGGTATGGCCATAGATGGGATGGGCTGTAATGTCTAACCCTGAGTCACTCTGGCATCCTAGAGCTCAGAAGACCCCTCTGAGGCAGCTTCCCAGGCTCCACATTTCTGCTGTCTGGGATCAGGTAACTCTTTGACCTCGGCTCTGTCCTGTGCAACGTAGGATGTTCAGCAGCGTCCCTGGCCTCTACCCTTAAATGTAAGAATGTCCCCAAGGCACTGCCGTGGCAGAGATACCACCAGGCAGAGTTAACTCCAGCTGACAGCCACTTTTTGTAGGACTGAGAAGTGGAAGATAATAATGAGCAGAGTTTTGGTCTTCAGCTGACACACAGGCAAAGGGGAGTAGGTCTACTTCTAAAGCTCTCCCTTGGCCATGAGACCATCCTTCCTGTTCCTTCTCTGTCCTCCCTTCATTCCTAATTTCTCCTCCTCTGAACGCCTAAAGTCATCCTTCATTTATTGTTAGTGTAGGAATTCCCTCCTTTACACCCCACCTGCCTCCTTGCAATACTTTCTTCTCCATTCTCAAGAATGTTCTTTATATTTGTATTGTGTTTTCATTCAAAAGGCTCCCATCCAGGGACCTGAGAAGTGGCACACGGTGACAGCTGGCCCCCGGCAGCCGCACTACAGTGAACTGGGTCTCTCCTTTCCTGGAGACCACAGCCTTGAAGATTAGTACTTTGAAAGAATGACCTTTTACTGAATGAATTATGCCTTGTCTGGAGGCAACAAGTCCAGGAGGCAGGAAAACGTAACTCCTGCAAACAATGCAGTGTGACACTCGTGCCTTTTGATGAGGCTTTTGTGGAAGGGCTTCATGGGTAGCTAGCACACTTCCCTGACTGTTGTCAAAGGTACCTATCACACAGGTAACTGTCAAAAGCCCACAGGAAACGATCATTATCAAGAGAAATGCTCTGTTCCCTCTGTTAACAATTCCCCAGCCTTCTCCAGACTCCACTCCCAGTGTCCAATCAGTTGACAGGATATACTGCCAGCCCCAACGGCCCCTACAGAATTATCTTACAGAGCTATGTTATAACTTCGGTGTTTTTCCACAAATAGCCATGTGTAGAATGGCTTTTTATGTATTTTTAATTACCGTGGAAGGTGTCCGCTATGTAGCTCAATGTTTTTTAGATAAAGACTCAGGTGATAAACTCTCTTGGAAACGAGCAGGAAATAATCTCTTTCGGTCAAGTAGTATACTTCGTACTACAGATAAATGAGTATGAAAAACTCCATTTTCCTCAAGGGTTTGGCTATTAGGAGAGCAGACCTAATTCTTTATCCCCTTTCAGTAAACTTCCTCAACTAAGAACTTGAGGCACAACTCTTCTCTACCACTTTTGCTTCTTTTTCTGTGTTAATGGTTTTCAGTGAGTTTTTACCATAGGTTGCTGAGGATTCACGTTGGAGATAAGTAGACTTTTGAACGCGGGTGTTTAAAAACATATGGATTTGCCCAATAGGGATGTTTTCCAATTTTGATGTTTGTCACCAACTCAGAGAGCACATAAAAAATTCATCTGAAATCCATGCACCCAAGCTATGTTCTTTATATCGTTCTGTAACTTTAAAATAATGGCTGGGTGGTTATCAAGTGGACAGGTCCATTTTATTTGGCATCAAAACCATTAGGAGATTAAAAAAAAGGTTATTACGTTTATGTTCAAGTGGGTGGGTTACAAAATTACACTCAATTTCTGCAACAGGACTCGAGGGTCTTGCGTTCCTATCCCCTCATAATTCTGAGCAAAATTAAATTTCATCCCTCTTCTATTTCCCGGGGCAAAGCTTTGAAAAGAGCACCAAAATACTTGGGCTCCCAAACGGACTCCACTATCGGTGGGCTGTGGCGGACTCATCCTCCCAAGGGCGTCAGTCCCAGCCCCATTTTGTCTTGAATTCCCCACCGTTTGCTCTTCTCTCGGCGCTTCCCCCGAGGTTACAACTTCGGAGCCCGCCCCTTCGCCCACGGAGTTCTCTTCCCCGCAGAACGCCCGCCTTCCTTTCGTCCCCACCCCTGCCTCCTCCCCAGCCAGGCTGACAGTAACAAGGCTGGGCTTCCCTTTGTGGAGCACACCCGCCTGGCAGCCTCGAGGCATCAAGTCCTTTCTTCCCTTCAGCTGTCAGGATCCCGCACCTGCCCGGGCTGTTCGCCCCCGGCCTGGGGCATCTCACAAATCTAAGTCCCCAGCTCCAGGTGGCGTCCGGAGCAGCCTCCCTTCCCCCAACCCCCCAGGCCTCGTGCCTCAGGTCACCACCATCCACCTTCCAGGGCGTCAGAGTCGCCCCGCTCTCACGGGGCTCCAGCTCCGAGGCTCCCACCCCAGCCCTGCTCTGCACAGCCCCGTCGCGCCCCCACGCACCCACTCGTTGGCTCGATGGCCGAAGGTGTACAGAGCCACCTGGCTGGCCACGTCCACGATGCGGTTGATATAAGGGTCGTGGCGCTGCAGGGCCGCCAGGCTGATGTCGCGCCCCTTTCCCACCAGGCCGCCTGCCGCCACGGCCGCCATCTTCCCTCCCGCCCCAATATCAACACGGGGCTCCCAGAAGCCGCTCTCAATAGATTGCAGAACGAACGAGCCGCCTCACAGCGGAAACCCCACGGCGACCGCCGGTCCGGGGAGGCCTTCCGGCCGCTGCCTTCCCCCACCCCCGCCGTCTTCTCCGGGCGAGCCACGCAGACATCATAAGTCGATCGCCGCGCGCCTCTCAGCGAGGATCGTTGCCAATGGTAACGACAAGCCAGTGCCTTCTGTCTGAATCTTGTTTTTTGTTCTAGGAGCGGTTTGCTTCCTTCTTGAGCCTTTAGGCTGCACCCGTGGTGGGATTATCCCTCTTGAATGTGTTCGACACCTTGTCCTGTCTTTTCTGTGGCGCTTCTGTGATGAAACCTACAATACTAAGTCGCAAGCATTAATAATTTCGAAGAGAAAGAGAACTGGGATTTTTGAATGCGGTAGTACTCAGTTCAGATGGGGTCCTCGAATCCCTTGGGCCATTCTGAGACCCTTTCAGGGGCTCTGTAATTTCAAAACAACTTTCGTGGCAGTGTGATGACATTTGAGCCATTGATGCAGAAAAACAACGGTGGCTCAGCGTGAATCAGGGTAAAGTTACCAAGCTGTGCCTTTTCAGCTTAAAAAGGTAGAAAGTAGGGCCGGCGGCAGGGCGCTGGGAGATAAGCCGACAGCCCACATAGAAGCTTGGGTTCCAGTCCCAGCTGCTCCTCTTCCTATCTGGCTCCCTGCTAATGCACCTGGGTAAGCAGCAGAAGATGGCCCAGATGCTTGGACCCCTGCATCCTGGTGGGAGATTTGGGTGGAGTTCCTGGCTCCTGGCTTCCACCTGGCTCAGCTCTGAAGTTGTGACCATTTTTCTCCCTCTTTCTCTGTAACTTTGCCTTTCAAATAAATAAATAAATCTTTCTTTTAAAAAGAGGAAAAGAAACAAAGCCTCTGCTACTTGAGAGAGTTCCACACAAAGCAATGAAAGCTATTACTTTTATTAAAGTTCAATCCCTAGGTATACTTCCCGTTAATATTCTGTATAAAGAGAGTACATATGCAGAAAGCATGCCTGCTGCATAACTAAGTGCCTTATTTGTCTCCAGGAAAATACTCTGCCTGAGTTGTGAGCTGAATTCGTGTTTTTTTATTTTTATTTTCAGAGGGTATTTTCTTTGCTTGAAATACCTATGAGCAAACTGTAGTTATGTAGACGTGTATTTTACAGAGATTTTTTTTGGAAAATAAAACACATCTGTCACTTCCAGACAGACCAGGTACAATTATTGTTGCCAATGTGATTTTTAAGACTTCAAGTGGGAGGCCGGCGCCGCAGCTCACTAGGCTAATCCTCCGCCTTGCAGCGCCGGCACACCGGGTTCCAGTCCAGTCGGGGCGCCGGATTCTGTCCCGGTTGCCCCTCTTCCAGGCCAGCTCTCTGCTGTGGCCAGGGAGTGCAGTGGAGGATGGCCCAAGTCCTTGGGCCCTGCACCCCATGGGAGACCAGGAGAAGCACCTGGCTCCTGCCATCGGATCAGCGCGGTGTGCCGGCCGCAGTGCGCCGGTCGCGGCGGCCATTGGAGGGTGAACCAACGGCAAAAGGAAGACCTTTCTCTCTGTTTCTCTCTCTCTCTCTCTCTCTCACTGTCCACTCTGCCTGTCGAAACAGGTCTTCCACATGGGTGGGAGAAAAAGACTTCAAGTGGGAAATAGTAGTTAGAAAATGTGTATCTACTGCTAGAGCTGCACAGTTTCTCAATACTGAAAGTCTTATGATGAGATTGATAGTGAATGAGTACAAATTTTAAAATTATTGTACCATGAAAAGCCAAACCTTTGAAAGATCTGTTTAACTCAGGGACCCTGTGTTTCCCAAATGTCTAATGTCTGATTGCCCATAATCATGTATGAGTAAAGGGGCTGGTGCTCCTTTGCATTCTATCCCAGAACATACATTGACATATTTGTATCTGATATGAACTAAAACTAAAGTTTTGTGAAGTAATACTAACAGATATAGACAGATGTACATGTATCTAGTTCACATTTTTAAAAAATTCTGCTTGTGACTCTCTAAATTGATTTCTGACCAGTTAATGATTGTGAACAACGGCGGATCATGGCAACTGGGCTATATAGAGCCAATGAGACGACTCTGATGGTTCAGTCTTGTTTAGATTTCCAGTGTCACCGAACTCTCTTTGCTCTTGAGCACATACTCTAGAAACACGCTTA